GACCTACGCACAATAGAATAAACTACTGTCCTGTACCGTCCTCACAATTGTTGTTACATTTGAGCCCATTGCTGCTGCCACTGGCCTTCCTCTTTTTCACTGGCCTCCACTTTACCATGCATGATGTCCTTCAGGGACTGATCCCTCCTAATAATGTGTCCAAAGTATGAGAGATGAAGTCTCAACCATCTTGACTTCTAAGGAGCATTCTGGCTGTACTTCTTCCAAGACAAATTTGTTTGTTCTTCTGGAAGTCCACAGTACTTTTAATATTCTTCTCTAACACCATAATTCAAATCTACTGATTCTTCTATGGTCTTCCTTATTCATAATTTTAATGTTGTTGTTGAGTGCCATTGAGTCAGTTCTGACTCACAGTGACCCTATCTAGAAGTTCAGATGCTTTCAATCTTTGTGGGAACAGAAAGCTTGATCTTTCTTCGAAATGCCAACCTTGTGGTTTGCAGTCCGTTGCTTATTACACAGAGCCACTGTACACCTCATAATTGTAACAGACTAATAACAAAAGTTGTTTAATTCAACAAATGTACTACCACATACCAGACCCTGGAGACACAGAAGTATAGAAAGCACAACTTTGTTCCTCAGGAAATTCATACAAATATAATGGCAAAATAGGTATAAAATGTTATTGTGGGTGTTAGGTTATGTCTCATTTAGTTATGGCTCATAGCGTGTCCATATACAACAGAATGATACACTGCCAGGTCCTGTGCCATCCTCACAATTGTTGTTATGTTTGAGCCCATTGTTGCTGCCACTGTGTCAATCCATCTAGTCAAAAGTCTTCCTTTTTTTCACTGGTCCTTCACTTTGCAAGCATGATGTCCTTCTCCAGGGGATTGGTCCTACATGATAAGCTGTCCAAAGTACATAGACGAAATCTCACTGTCCTCACTTCTAAGGAGCATTCAAGAGGCATAAAACAGGTGACTGTAATTCAGTGTAATCCAATGTATGGTAGAAGCAGAGGAAACATAAAGGTGGCCACTATTCCTGAGCAACCACACTGAATGAAGTGTGTAATCTTTGTTTAGAGATGGTGAAACTGAGCTCACTAAGGTCAAGTGGCTTGCCAAACAAGTGCTGTTTGTTGAAGGGCTCTCATCTTGAGGTTTTAAAGATGGAAAAGAGATGAAGGACAAGATTTTGATAGACTCCATGCTTTGTATTCACATATTGGTGGGATTCTAGAGCTTTTTTAGTTCAGAGGAAGAAGTCACTTCTGGCCAGGGGTAGAAGTCAGATTCCTAGAGAAGGTGGTAGTTCATATAGGATGCTATTCTAATCACCCTGCAAGGGAGATGCCATTATCTTCATTTTAGAGTCAAGAAACTGAGACTTAGAGAGCTTGAGGCACCTGTCTAACTAGGCAGGTAACTGGCAGAGCTATTTGATGTTGTACTTCCCCTCACAACTCTGTAAGGTAGTTAAAGTTAATCTCTCAAAAAAAAGTAGAGGTTCAGAGAAGTGAAATGATGTGCCAAAGATGTGGGTATTCAGCTCAGAAATGATGGAGTTAGAATTTGAACCCATTTCTTTGTCCAGATCATCTTCTTTCATTTCACAAGGCCCTCCTGTGGTGAAGATGGCTAAAGTTTTGGCAGCTACAGGTGGGAACTTAGGCATTTCTGCACAAAAATTTGAGAACCTACACTTATTTTTAATAGGCTATGTGTGTGAGAGAGAAGCACACAGAGGGAAGGTTCACAACTTTTCCTTTGTAATTTCATTCAGTCTCTTTACTGAATGAGCCATTTCTTTTGTCCTTAGAAACCTGTATTTTGCTGGGGGTTTTAGTACCAGTGCAACCACAGCAGAGATTCCCAGACCTCACTAGGGTTTCCCAACTCCCCATAACTAGCAACAAGTCAGCAATTGTTTTTCTTGTTATTCTTGTTGTGTGCCAACGAGTCCGTTCCAATACACAGCGACCGTGTATAGGGTTTCTGAGGCTATCAATCTTGGCGGGAGCAGAAGCCTTCATCTTTCTTCCGTGGAGCAGCTGGTAGATTTGAGCTATTACCATGTGGCTAACAGCCCAACACATAACCCATAATGTCACCAGGTCTCCTTTCTTGTTATATTTCTTTTCAAATTTGGCCATGTATTCTCTATGAATTTTTTTGATGATTAAAGTTCTACTTGGGACCTCTAGAGTTCAGCATGTGATGAGAGAAACAGCATAGTAGAGATAAAGGGGATTCAGCATAAATTGTAAAACAACCAGCAAGTAGCAGACTCAGGTCTGTCTTGTGCCGAATCCCCCTTGTCTCTACTATGCTACTAGCTTTATTGCATTATTACTCCCATCTGTGCCTCTGTTTCCTTTTCTATAAAATGGGAGTAATCACGCACATCTAGCGGGGATGTTCCAAGGAATAAGTTATTGTTAAGTGCCATCCAGTCAGTTCTGACCCATAGTGATCC